ACGCCGGTACGGTTCGTCATCATAAAAAAGGGTCTCAATGAAGGCGCCCTCACAGTTACTTAGATGAACATGCGTATGCCGAATCTATAACGTCAAGTATAATTAGATCACAATGTCACAAATAGCTGATGACATTGACTTTGTAAAGTGGCTGAGATAAATGAAAATTCATATAACAGACATGACTTGTGTGATCACCTTCATTTTTGTCGTTTTAATTACAAATGTACTAGTATTACATTCACCCTTATTTCTGAACATGTGTCAACCGTGGAAACCTGACATTCGTTAATTGAATGACGTCGCACTAATTTACTCGAATGAACGTCACGAATATGAACAAATACGCAATAAACCGTGTTGTTAGGTGACTGATATTTTCACTAAATAGGTCAATAATAATAATACATCGTAATATTCCATTATCAAAATGTATTTTTCGGTGACGTAATTGTGCAACAGAGATTGTGAATGGTTGTCTTACAACTGTTTATGTCGTAAATATATAGTTTTAAATTATCTGCCTGAATAAACAAGCCCAATTTTAGTCTTATTCACTTCAGTAAAACAAAGGGAAAAATGTGATGTTCTTCAATCTGTACACGTCCGGGTTTACATCAGAGACAGAATAGACGTACTCAGATTCTACCTATTCTACCAAGACGATGAAAATGTATAATAGTCATTTACATTCTCATGGAATAAAATAAAATTGTCAAGATGTGCGTGATTGTAGAGTATATTCAAACAGTGGAATACTTCTCATAATTTAAATACCGCGAGCCGATGAGTGTGTTTCTTAACGTTTGTATTGCCGGCATCACTTGAGTAACTTGAAATCTTAATATAGCCCATGTTTGATCGTTGAACAGAGAATAGCACGTGCGATTCGATGACATTTTAAGATATGGAAAACAACAACCAACAAACTAACTCTACGGGACTGATCGACAATATTCGGCTATTGGCAAAACAACAACAACAACAACAACAACAACAACAACAGAATCTGATGTGGATATTTATATCATAACTGGTAGAGCAAAAGCATAAGCTTCAAACAAAATTTCGACGACAATATAACTCACATTTTGACCACTGTCTGAGCATACTCTTATTATCATGGTTACATCGAAAACGCAACGCAACGTAATTTAATTAAGTGAACATTTACAATAAAAAGTCTTCGCTGAATTGTTGTTGTCACGATTTTTCAGTCGTTGTACTCATTGCATGCGCGTAATTAAATAGAGGGCTTTGTGATATAATTCCACACGGCTGATTACTGTAACACTGACTACACATATCGATACACCTTTACAATGCTTGGTATTTCTATACACCAATGACTGTACGGATTTCGTAAAGTATAGGTATTCTTTATATACAGCTAGTGAGGTAGGGATGGTGTACATGTATATCCACAACAATACACGTGGAAGTTAAGTAAGATGTAAAACATAGCAAGTAATTGGTCTATTGTAGTTATTAGATGAGGGAATCGCGACATGTTGTGAATACTCATTCAGGTTCATGGATGACCCAATTTTTAATCGAATAATTTGTTAATTATTCAAATTATTGTCAATAGTTGAGTCAATATCGATATGATGGCGCATATTACGGCCGGGTACGGTATCAGGGGGTAATTCTCTTCTCTCTGGGGTTCTCCACACTTGTCAGGGGGAATCTCGTCTCGTCTCTATATCGCGTCCCCTTGAGGTATGGGATCGGAAGAGTCACTTATACTTTACAATCAAATAAGACACACACAACGTTTCAGCTCTCGTCTTAGTCGGTCAATCGAGCACTCTATCAGACACAGCGCCCTGGGGAAAAATCCCCAAGACTATCGCAAGGCTGACCCAAGACTAGCCCAAGACTATGTCAAGATTCGCCCCACGACTCTCCAGGACCGGACTCACGACTGCGTCTGTCGTGGAGTATTCGCCAAGATCAACTCAAACTCTCTTTATTCATTTTCAAAACACTAACCAATTACAAAGCAGAAAAAAGACTCTAGGGCGTTACCTTCAATCATAAAGCCAATCACACTAAGTACTGAATACGTCATATCTTTTGATTAATCGTTCACTACATTAATAACTACGGATACCAACTGTCAGAAACTTAGTCAGAATAGCGACGGTTATCTCGTAATTAATTCCAAATCACTGAGCCAAGTTCCGTCCAAAACTTCAAATAGGCCTAAACGATGACAGACATAACACAGCAATTCAGCTAATAATCAACTAATTAAGTCGGTCAACAGATACGCGTAAACTAATTCATGATAACGGTACTGGCAAGGAAACATATACTGGTTTCTTTATAAAGTATATCTGCTTCCGATGTATATGATAATACTAGTATCGGCATTGGCTTTTCCAATGTACGATTTGTCAGTATACAGGAACGATTCATTTTCAATGCACTGTATATTCACTTCAAAGTTTACCGCATCTAAGGCTGCGTTAGCAGTGGATTATAAACATACACTCTGAACGTTACGTCGTTACGACTCGTCGGATTGCGGGTGGTTTTCATGCGAATATGCAGGGGAAATATATTAGCAGGTCATAGTAGAAGCAGAGTAATATCTGCCACCTTGTATTTTATGTTTCAGCCAATCTAATACGATGTTAATTACATTGCACATTCGCTGTTCTCCGTTTTCGATACAAATGTGTTGTCTCTGTTACGGGCAAAGGGAGTCCCATACATGGAGGTAACCGCGATCAGTGCAAAAAGGCTAACGTAATCGTGAATAAACTACTGTCTAGTCGAGCGTTTTGTCACTGTTCTATAACAAAACATAACCTAATAACAATAACAAAAACAGGTGTACATCGAACTCTTCATAAAAATATTATATTATTATATTCCATCAAAAACATTACTTTAGCTCGAATGTGGAATGATGTATATACATTGTAAATTGCAGAAGTGTGAGAAGTGTGATCTATACAATCTGTATTGAACAATACACTCAATTTAAATAATTAATTTATGCATAAACTTGAATTAGTGAAATTTGAGCTGCTGTAGACAACTGGTAGACAGTTTTCAAGACGGCACTTTCTTCATAACAAACAGATGTACCCGTAAACCAATTTTGACAGGAAACAGAGGCATGGTTTAGAAGCTTTTTTTTTAAATCACTTTTGACCAAAAAAGCACATTTTTGTGCATATTTCAAACTAAAGTGTCCATAACAAAATACTTACAAAATTTTTAAATGGACAAGGAAGGTTATCTTGGTTTCCTAATTAACTAATTAAAATACCTGTCAAGTAAACTGCATCTCCCACATTTTCTACGCGGTAAATTATAACTAAATGTAGATATCATACAAATAAGATATAATAACAGGATTGTCGTGAACCAGATATACATATCGCACTCTACACTGCGATAATGGAAATTTTGTCTAGCACTGTTATTCCCATTACACAATAATTACAAAACGATAAATATATATTTACTGAACACTATCTTATATCATCAGCCTATCAGTTATACACCAGTTAGTTTTTGGTATATCGATAAGAAACAGGATTACTGGTTGAATTAACTGGTTAATAATCCGCATCATGAAAAAAAATGGTGTCTCACAAAATGTAAGTGAATTCGCTTGTCTCTGAATTTGACAATGCTGTGTAGGAAACCAGTGTGATTTACTGATCCTCATTCAATGGATATTTGTATGATAATTTGTACCATTTAAAAGAGTAATCATGAAATTCAGAATTACTAATATCTGAAATATATTGTAAATTAGTAGCATTTTTATCATTCGTGCCTTCCACGATTCGTTTACATTGTTAAGAAATTGCATGTTGTCTTTTTCTATGTGTACTTAAAAAGAAACACTGACAGGCACGCTTTCGTGATGCTATAATAATGAAGAAACTT